TGTCTACACAAAAACTTGTAAATGAATGTTCGTAACAGCATTATTTGTAATAGCTCAAAACTATAAACAACCCAAATGTCTATCAACTGATGGATGGACAAAGAAAATGTCATACAATACAATATTATTTGGTAATAGAAAGGAATGAACTACAATACCTGCTGCAACACTGAAAACATGCTAAGTGAAAGAAGCCATTCACAAAAGACCACATATTGTATGATCTCGTTTATATGAAATGTCAAGAATAGGCAAATCTATAGATAGAGATCAAAAGTAAATCAGTGGTTCCTTGGGCTGGGGGGAGATTGGAGAGTGATGGCTGACTGGTATGTGGTTTCTTTTTGGGGTGGTAAAAATGTTCTAAATTTAAATAGTGGTGATGGTGGCACAACTCTGAATATACTAAAAGTATTGAATACATTTTAAATGGGTGAATTTTACGGTATGTGAATTAGATCTCAGTAAAGCTGTTGTTAAAAACAATTCAGGTGTATAGAGGTATATGACTGTAGGACACAGTGTGGATGTGAGTGCTGGGATGCAATAGCAATTTTTTAAAATGATAATCCTTTTATTTTATTTTTTTAACTTTTTATTTTATATTGGAGTATAGTTGATTACCAGTGTTGTATTTCAGGTGTACAGCAAAGTGATTGTAATAGCAATGCTTTTATATGCATATGAATTACCTAGGTATCTTATTAAATGCAGATTCTGATTCAGGAGGTCTGGGATGGTTTTTTTTTTTTTTTTTTTTTTTTTTCCGGTACGCGGGTCTCTCACTGCCGTGGCCTCTCCCATCGCGGAGCACAGGCTCCGGACGCGCAGGCTCAGCTGCCATGGCCCATGGGCCCAGCCGCTCCGCGGCATGCGGAATCCTCCTGGACTGGGGCACGAACCCGTGTCCCCTGCATCGGCAGGCGGGACTCTCAACCACTGCGCCACTAAGGAAGCCCTGGGATGAATTCTGAAGCATATATTTCTTAAGCTCTCAGGGTGCTGATGCTTCTGGGCTGTGGATCATGCTCATCAAGGCAGTAAAGGATTTTTTTTTTTTTTTTCCAGTGAATGGGGTCAGTCTAAAGAGCCTTTCAGGATCCAGGAGGATTTGTCTAGCATTTTGCATGAAGGCAGAATGTGGTTTGGTGGAAGAGAGGGGCTGAAGGGACAAAGTAACCAGCCTGTGTAAAGACTCAGAGACCACCGAGTATCAGTATTTGTGGGGGATAGGAGGCCTGTTTGTGGTATTACACTGGTGGACCATGAGTCTTTCGCACCTGAGAAAATGTCAGTCAACCGCAGCTCATTTTCCATTTTTGTAAAGTTTTCTCTTGCCCTCTGCCTGACATTTTTGGTCTAACTTCTTTCAAATCTGGACCTAGGTAGATTGACATGACTAGAGACCTTGCGACATCCTAGGAGGGGAGTGATTGGTTGGCAAAAAGACATTCTGTGTATGGGTCTTAGGAGTGGGAAATGGGCCCATCAATCAGTAATCTTGCCCTGAGAGCCTACCTAATTAGCTACCTGAGCTCTGGACAGGTCAAGTTTAGACTGACTTACTTCTTGGCCCCAGGTGAATAAACTTATTAATGAGGGAGCAAATAAAGATGTATTTCCAGATGGTACAGGTTAATTATAGGTATAGCTTATAGCTTTCCTTGTTTTTCCACCTGAGCTAGAAGACTGATTTGGATGTAATTTTAAAAATCTTTTCGTTCAGCATGCAAATATTAAAGCCAAATCATGTCTTTACTCAGCATTACTCTACTCTGGTGCTCTTACTACTCCACGAAGTGCTAAATGGTCCTCTAAGCACCAAGTCTAGTCTCAGCCTTAGTGCTTGCCCTTCTGAGCTGTTCCCTGAGCTCTGAAAGCATTACTGCCTTGTGCTTCACCAACATTCAGTTCCCTGGCCTCTCTGAGTACTTTTTAAAGTACACTCACTCTCCTAGGAAGAAAGGCAATGAAATCACTTGGTCACTTGGAATATACTTACCCTCACAGCCCCACAATCAAGTCAGAAGACTTATTCTCTATTTTCCAGCGGGAGAAACAAAGGCACAGACAGTAGCATGCTTGACCACTATCTCATGGAGAGGTGTCCCCATGCCTGGTCCGGTTCTCTGAACCTTCCTTGTTTTCTCTTCAATGGACTTACCTTGCTTCTTTGAACATGTGGTTGTGTTGTTTTGTTTTGTTTTGACGTGTAGTTTTTTAAACATGATTTTCTGGGTGCCTCCAGAAAATGAATACTTCTCAGATGCTTATTAGGTATTTTTCAAGTGTTTGTTTACACTCCCATTTAAGCATCTCCAGGTGGGGTGCTGGTGTGTCAGCATACTTACTTATTACCCTGTTGGAGGGAATTCTGTTCAATTTCACAAGTACTCAGTGAGTGCTTAATATACACTCAGCTCTGCTATTCTACTTGAAAGACGAAAAAGCAGTGTATTCTCCTTGGCTCTGTGGGATCTTCTAGGATGGGAGCAAGATAGACATAAGCAGGACTTGGACTAGGGTGAAGCAAACAAGGCGCTGGGCACAAACTTGAAAGAGGCACTCACTCTCAAGGTCATGCAAGTGCAGTGTCAGTACCTGAAAATGTGTGCCTTCTTAAATTTTGAGCTCTAGGTCCCTTGCTTGCACCACCCTGGTCCTGGCCCTGGATTTAAGAAGCAGTTAGGTCACTTGGAAAGCATGTCTAAGATAACATAAGATTGTGGTCCTTGGGCTTCCCTGGTGGCGCAGTGGTTGGGAGTCCGCCTGCCGATGC